GATTCTCGTGGTCTTCCTCTCCATGTAACGCAAATGCGGGTTAGCTCCACGAAGGCAAATTTCTCCCATTTCTCGATATAGGAGTTCCCTTGTCTTCTGGATTGGGTTCAAAATTACAAGGCTACGGAATTAGGTCGGCTGTTCAACGACGGTTATAAAATTAAATATGGGGCTAAAAGTCTTTTTGTCAAAGGATTTTGATCGACATTAAATGTTAAATATTTAGGAAATTCTCTGAAATTAAAAATATTTTTATTGGAAAGTATCAAAAAGTTAGTAAAGAGAGTTATAATTATAATTATTAAAAACTCTGCATTATTCTTTAAATTACGATATTATAATTAAAATTTGGTTTTTGCCGAAATCATCGTAAATATAATAGTAGAAAAGAAAAAGCTACTTTTAATTACTGATTTATTTTAGTATTTATCTTGAATGTATTCATGAATATAAAGTTTTTTTTATTTATTTCGAATCCTCTGTTGCTCAACTTGAAAGTATAATGAAAGAAAAAGTGTCTAGTGAATGAATGCAGAAACGTGTATGAATTGTTATCACACAGACGTCAAGTCGTTTAAAAAGAGTTGGTATGTGGAATTTTTTTTTTTCTTATTTCCCCCATTTTTTTTAATGTTGAATATAATATAACAACCGAAGGAGATTTCTCGCGCTTTTCGAGTTATGCAAAAGAGCTGGAAACCTTGGCCCTCCTATTATCCCTAACTAAGGTGGTCTATGAGTTTTCAAACGAAGTTATTAAAAAAATGAAAAACAGTGGGAGGTTAAAATTGTTTAACGCTCGTCACCTACTTTGTTTTTATTATTAGCGGTTCCCTTTCATATTTCACTCCCCCAGTTATAAAAAGAGTTCCTCGAAAGACCTCGATGTCTTCTTTTCGAGCCCTCGAGGAAAGGTTAAATGTTGGATGCTTTTTTTAATTCTGCCATAACTTGAGAAAAAAAATTAGTAAAATTTTTAATTAAAAAAATAATCGTTGATGTTGATTGATTTTGCGCCTTTTTGAAATAATGCGCCCATGGCATTCGCCATACTTGCCATACCCTAGATACGCCACTGGTGACAACTACAATCCCCGAGGCTCCAAGTGGATTTTAAACTTGCAATATTTTTGAAAAAGAATCATGTTCAGGTATAAAAGAATACGTAAAAGTTGCCAGGACTTGACAATATTTCTGCAACATATCATAGTACATAAATCTTCTGTGTTGTATCTTCGGATATCATAATTTGTTACATATTGTTGTAGCAAAAAGTGTTTAGGTAGCAGGCATGCATTTGTTTGCAAGAAACGAGCGAAATTTTCAACGATTAATACACGTGGTCAGAAATACAATTCTTGCAGAAAACGAAGAATACTTTAAGATATGTGTGTTAGCAAGGCAGCAGTTCATCACGGGACACACTTCCAGGGGATACCTAAATAGGCCTATGCGGTGAAATTTAGGGTTTTTTTTATTCCTGGAGAATATAGATAGCAGCACTTTTTTAAGAATTTTTACTCATTGAATGTTTTTTGTTTTATTTTTCAAAATTTTCAAAAGGGATCAGCACTTGATTTTTTAATTTTTTTAATAATTAATTGATTTTTTTAATGATTTGGCAATTTATATCTCATTTTTATTTATTTTTCTTAAGTGTGGGAGTTTTATTATTAAGTCTTACTCTGAGTATTTTTAAATTGTGTTTGTTTGTCATTAATTTTTCTAATTGCTTTATCATATTTGTTTATCCATAATGGTTCCCAGGGCACAGTCAGTTTTTGTTATTACCACTGACGACAGAAAGGCTCTTGTGTGTTGCCAGGCAGCGTGTTCCCTGATGAAGTGCTTTCTTGCTAACACACATATCTTAAAATATTCTTCGCTTTTTGCTAGAATTGTATTTCTGACTTTCTGAATTAAAATAAGACAAATTTGGTTTTAGCGTTTTTCCATTTTGATTTATTATTTTAAATGTTATTTACTTATTTTGTCTTTTACTGAATTTGTGGGAATTAATTTCATTCTTTGATTAGATAAAAAAAAACACGTGGTATAATTTATAACTCAGAATTGTATAATACATGTAATATTGTATGCATAATCCAATGATTTAAAAGCGCAATTTTAAGCTGTACCACCTTAAAATTGCGCTTCTTTAATTCATTAAAATCAAAGATATGTTTTTAAAATCAACTACAATTAAATTAAGTTTGGTAAAATTAAATGTTTAAAAACATTTAAGTAATTTCCATGTATGAAGAAGAAATACAAGGAAATGAAAAGAATTTAATTAGTTAACATACTCTATGATCTTAGTATTTGTTTTATTAAAGCATGTTATGAGTATTCCTTCTAATATAAAATTTTCATTTAGATGAAGGCTCTAGTAATCGGTGATTCAATGATAAAATATTTGAAACCCCATCTCCCTGATGTAATATTGGGTCACAATGTGCAACTTGAAAGCTTTCCTGGATTTCAAATTAAAGGTTTAATGGAGAAAATCAAGGAATTCAGTGGATTTGGTGTTATTGTACTACATATTGGTAAGTACCTTGTCTAATATCACATAAATTTGTTATGATTCCTCTTAAACTTGCAATGATTTCTGCTTTATGTCTCATTATAAAAGTTAGTTCCTATTTAAAATATGAAAGTTGAACCTCTTTATTATTTATTTTTTATCTATTTGTTGATAAAAAAATTCCAATTACCTTTCAAAGGAACTGAGTGGTTGTGCTAAAAAAAGAGGTTTTTCTATGAATAAAAAATATATAATTTTTCAGTTGTTATATCTTAAATAAATTATGAGAGGTTCCTGAAAATTTATGTTTTTTTCTGTTACGCTTTTCAAATTGAAATAGAATAGCTGAATTTGTAAAGAAATGAATATGCTTCCCTAAAAATCTTTTCAATATTTATATTTCTTTTTAGCTTTTATTTCAACGGAAACCGTTTTTCTCCTTATTTGTTTAATTCTCAGCTTCTTGCATATACACCAAAAAATTCAAGAATGTGCATTCAACTGCCAAACACAAATTTTGATTTGTAATTGTTAATGAATCAAAAAAATTTCATTCCTCTTATTTCATGTTTTAAAAATAAGGTATACTTTAATTTGTTAAAACACTCAAAATTGTCTTTAGATATTTTTTTATAATGCTGGAGTTCTTTACTGCTATATTTATAAAGATCTATTATTAAGAGTTTCATAGTCTAATAAAGATTTGAAACCGCTGTAGTAGAAGCAGTTTTTCATTATCGTTTTAAGTATTTTGTCTATATATAAGGCTAATAAGTTTAATTTCAGGTTCTAATGATTGCTTTGTGGATGCTAAGACCAATATTACAGAGTATGAAAAATTGCTCCAGGAAATTTTGTTAAAAAATCCTGGTTGTGAAATTTTCATCACAAGGATTTTGACTAGATTACCTAGTCAGTACCTCGATGTGAAACAGAGACTTTCAGAGTGCATTAGACTAAGGCAGTGGAACAAGAATGTTAAGGCATTGAATGAAATGCTGGACATTCTTTCAACAAATAGCCCTAATCTACACTTTTGTTCCTCTCCAAAAATAAATTGGAATAGGTATTTAGCATTGGATGGAGTACACTTCAGTAGGTTTGGAAATGATGCTTTTGGACAATACTTAACGTTTATCCTTTCTGACTACTTTGCCTGGGTTACGAAATCCAAAACAGGTATGATGATTTTAGTTAAAATTTGTTTTCTGAAATATGTGTTGTGCTTTTCTGAGTATTTTTAATATTTAAGCAAAACTGTTTGTGTGTTAATCATTTGTTATTAATCATTGTCATAGAGGCCTGTTAACACAGTCCAAGTTCTTGAATCCGAGAAATTGGAGGAATTTCTCTGTCCAAGAAATTGGATGATTTGTCGACACTATCCAAGTTCCTGAATGCCGCTGATTGGTCCGAAAGAAAACTTGCGCAAACGCATTGTTCATATTCAGCATTATAAAATAATACTTACACAAGTTTAAAATTACTAAATAAATTCAAATAAAACTATAATAGCACAAATAAACAGCATCAGATTATTTTATTTGGACTAAAATATATGAAAACAGACAGCAAAATGACATAATCTGATGCCTGCTCGTTGACGTCACAATTGGTTAAGGGAGAAAAAACTTGGTTGGAAAGTACAACACGCTCTACTATCGTTCAAGAATTTTGACCAAGTACTTGGATGATCGCATACACAATCCAAGCTCAAAGCAAAACAAGTTTCAATATCAAACAATCTTCGTCCACGAACTTGGATCGTCTAAACAGGCCTTAAGTCTGGTGTGTTAATCATTTGAGATTGTTGGGTATAGTTCATATCAAATAAATTTTTCATGTTAAGTATAAATTTTTCCCTTTCTTTCACGAATTTTTGTTAAGTGACTAACAATTTAAATAGTGGTTTGGCAAATTACTTTCTATTATTAGTATACATTTATTCTTAAAATTTCACATTCTGCATGTCATTGAATGTTTTAGATCATTCAAAAGAACGTTTTTTATTTTGCTAGAATCTTTAGTTTACAAATGTCACATTTTCTTTGAACTCGAAATTATAAGACTACAAAGACTGTTTTGGTGATTGTGCTATATCTGAAAAAATCAATGGTGATTAGTTTGCTTTCTTTTTGCATTGTTAGCCTTGATTTGCCTGTCATTGTTGAGATCACAAACAAGTTTTGTTCAGATCTTTGTGTTGTGGTTTGTCTAGTTTTGTATCTGAAGCTACATTCAGAGCCGTTTTTAAGGATGGGCCCGAACCCGGGGCTCCTAGTTCCGATGGGGCCCCTGAAAAGTCAAAATTCTCATTAACATTTTTTAAAAAAAAATTATCTTAACAAATCTGCTTAAAAAAAGGTTAGCAAATGAATGTTTGAGCTGAAATATTAAAAGAAAAAATTGGTTCACCTATGAATCTCATCGATCATGTCATGTTGCAGATGATGGAATCATATGTTTTTGTAGAACAAGAACAGAAAAGGTAATAAGAACAGAAAGAACTGCATGCGCTTATACAGTTTTAGGAAAGAGGAGTTATTAATGCCAGTCAACAACAATGGAACAATGCTATATGTTTATTATTCCTTGAAATTTGTTACTATGCTCCTTACAATTTTATGTTGCTTAGTCCGTTTTCTGTATTCCGAATAAGAACAACATTGACACTTAGTTTGGTTATGTGCTCACGTGAGTGTGAGAATCAAAGGGTATCAGTTTTATTTCGACTTCAACTTAAAAGTTCTATTTGTGAGTATAAATTTATGAAGCATATTTATTTACTATTGTTGAAACTTATTTACTATTGTTGAACTATTGATGAACTAAAGTGGCATAAAATATGATTGTCAAACTACTAAAATACGCTTCCTCGTAGAGAGTAGTATAGAATTTTTTTTCTTAAATTGGTGTCTATTTTTAATGGTTTTTTTTTATTCCTTTATTTCTTTATTCCTTTTTTAGTTTGGTAAAAGCTATTATGTCAGGCAAAAGCTTAAAAGTGTTTTTAGAATTGAGTTAATCTCAAATCTCTTATTTGTCAAAATTATTATTTTGCTCTGTTAAATTTAGTTTTAATATTGTAATTATAATTTCAGGGTGCAGAGGAAATGTTTAATAGCGGCAAAGTCTCCGGTCAACTTGCTTGTTGCGTCTGAAGTAAGGAAAGATTAATAACTATGGGCAAAAGATATTAATATAGTGGGCTGCTCCACCTGCTCGCTGACGCTCGCCAACCCCCGAAAATTGCTACGCAATCTTACATGGTTTGCTTCGCAAACCAAGCTCTCTTCGCTCACTACTAACTTAGGTACATTGCAAATGCACAAAATTCTAAGAATTCAAAACAATCATTCAAATTCATATAACAACTTTTTTTTAAAAAAAAATTACATCTTTTTAGTAAATACTAAGTCATTAAAATGAATTTGAATTGAAATAAATGACATGTAATTCGTTAAACCTATTAGAAATGTGCTATAGTATAAAATCTTAAAGCGTAAGAACGCGACTGAGACTCATTTTTCATTGAATAACTAATAACAATAATAAACCAAATAAATTCGTGATATAAATCAAAGCTCGTCAAATAAATTCGTAAGATATAAATTCGTGAAAAAAAGCGCTTTCGACAAAATACTAAAATAGAGATCTATCGACAAAGACTACTCACTTCTGCCTAGCTTAATAGTATGAGATTGCCGCAGCTGATGCTCTCTGGTTATTTCAGTTTCCGTTTTTAAAAGAGTTATATGTTGAGCCACCTCAGCTAGATTTGGCATGTGACATTTTTATCGGTAATCATTGGTCGATTTTCTAGCGTTGCCATTCGGGGAGTTGTAATGAGGCTTTTATTTTGTCGCTGTGTAAGAGAAATAGTAACCTAAACAAAACAGAGCAAACGTTGCCACCGGCGGAAAAGAAATGCAGCCAAAATTTAGGAGCCACGTAAGAGAATTATATATATTAGATGTTGATGAAATTTGAACTCTGGTTGTTCGAAGGTGCATTTTTATATAATATGTAGTTATTTCTTTTTAGATTCGCTGAGGTGAGCCTCAGGATCCAAATTTACAAACATTTATTTAGCCTAGTGATGAAAGCTGTGGCAGTCTGTCATAATTAGACATCTTGTCTGTCCCAAGTGATGAAAGTTGGTTCGATCAGCTATAAATTCAAGTCCATTTAATTTTTGACAGAGACATGTAATAAGCTTCTGTGATGCCTTTTGAAGGGAAAAAGTAGTGTTAGAATGTATTTGTATGTCATCTTTGAGTGTATATAATAAAATTGTTGTGTTTGGTTTTTATTCAACAATTACTGTGTTTATATACGTGTTTTTTTAATAAATTTTCAATTCTCACATTGCAGAGTTAATGTATTTTTTAATAATAAATCATATAAGCAGCACCCACTATTTTTTGCGAGTTGTATAATTTTTACAAAAAAAAGTGTTTTTTTTCAAAGAAATAAGTTTAGTTAAGATTCCATCTCATCAAAGTTTTATGCGTCATTTCACAAAGTGCTAATTGTAAAAACTATTATCATCAATAAATTATGTAGTTGGAATTTGAAACATCAAATTGATACTTAACTTCATAGAGTTTTATATAACGTTTCAAAAAGATGCCACATTACCATTACGGTTTTACTTTCACTACGTGCGAAAAACTTCAGTCGTAATGACACCGACTTGCAGAACGTTGTTATATTTATGAAAAATTATTTAAATCCATGCTGAAAAATTATAACTAGCACTAATGTCCAACTTCATACGTCAATAGTGAGATAAACCACTTGACTAAAGTAAACCTGAACGAGGTAAAGTAAACCTGAACCTAAAGTGAACCTTGCTTCCTTCTAATTTTAGGCTAATATCTACATCACTATCTCTTTTTTGGAGATTTTCCTCTTGGCTACAGTTGGTTGCAATTATGAGCGTCACAACCGGGGGGTCTGAAATATCCGGACCTGTATAAATAATAATATATGTTTCTTACATAAAAAATTTACAATATAAAAATATTTTTAATATAAAAATATTTATTACGTAAGTAAAGTAAAAATATTTATAAAAAGAAAATACATTCCGAGGAAGAAAAAAAAAACGAATTGCCTTTAAAAATGACAAAATAAGCGTTTACAAAAAATATATATCTATATACATAATTGTTACTGCCACTTTAAAATTTCTCTCAAATGAACATTAAACGAAATCAGATTCATCAAAATATAAGGGGCAACCGCAATGTGAAAAAAATAATTTAGTCCGGAAAGCAGACGGGAGTTTGGACCTCTTAATATTAATTTTATTTTTTGAGTATTTTACCATATCTTGAAGTCAATCAAAAATTCTGTACTTACAATTATCAAGTTCCTTTATGCAAAGAAAAGTCCACATACAAAATAATTTTTAATAATTATTTGTTGCATTTTATTATTTTATTTGATGACAATCGAAAATTTTTGAAATGTACGATCTACATTTTTTTTTTTTACCCAATCTTAAGTAATTATGAAATACAAAATTTTAAGAAATCGGTCGAATAGTTTACAAAAATTACAATTTTAAACATCAGACAAATTTTTTCTCAAAAATACAACACACTGGTCTACACATAAGGCGGTTTGCCTTCTTTAAATATACAGGAGGAGGACTATTTAAGGGATCATTTCTTCTCCTTTTTTTTCTTTGAGTGTCAGATATAGTTTGTAGCATCTTTCAAGAGCATAGCTTGAGTATTATATATGACTAAATGTCAGACTTCATTTACTTTTATATTTAGTTTGGAACTGTTTCATCCAGATGTAAAAGTAATATTTCATAATTTTGAAAATATGTTTCAAAAGTAATAAATACGGAACAAGATATATCAAAATGTTTGAAAAAAAAAGTAATTAAGAAAAAGCCAAACAGAAAAGCGGGTTGTTATTGGCTGCTGGATTGGCTAATAACGAGCCAAAACTGCTGAGAACCGGCTCAAATTTTTTTACGAAAGTTCAATGTTTTTCAATTAATATAAAAAAAAAAAAAAAACTCGAAGAGAATTCTCTTTCACAATCTAGGAAACTAAAAGGAGAAAAAAAAACTCCTGAAACATTCTATATATTATGTTAATAAAATTTATTGTTTTTTAAGGAAGAAGCATCAATAAATTTTATCCTGGGATTCATAAAATCTGTATTCCAGCCTTGTATCTCTACATGCGGGATACTACTTGAAAGAACTAATAGTCAATTTTATAGTCTCCCTCTTTAAAAGTGTCTTTAAATATGAAAACAACATACACTATTGCTTATATTTTTGGTCCGAGAGATAACTTAACGAAAAAAGGTGATTATTTAAATAATTTTCGCATATTTCGTGCATCCACATATTGCTTTTGATCTCACCACAGTGCATTGAGGATAAAAACAGTTTTGTAACAGAAAAAGTTTTGAAAACATTAGTAGGGATGGGCAAATTATTAATGGTAGAAAACAAACTACTATTTATTTATATAAAAACTCGTTCCTCACACCTGCTTTTTTAAAACGGATTCAGTAAAATTTAATCTGGTTTTAAATGTTGCACGGAATTGGAGTGACAATTTTTTATTTTATTTAAGTAGTATTAATTCCTTGCTATTGTACTTGATATGGCATTTATTAAAGTAACTTCAATTTTTTTTGTGTTTTAACTCTCAATAACAAAAGTGGGCATTTTGTGACCCCTAATGTAAACACCTTTTTAAGTTCGTTTTTGACAAAGATTTTTGAAATATATCAAAGGCAGTGATGACGGTACACCATCACACCTGTACAAACAAAATAAAAAAATTAAGTAACTGATATTTTATGACACTGCATTCCGGGATAGTAAAATATGAAGATGTTAATGAATTATAAACCGAAAAAAAATGTTCATTCAAGTTTAATCATCCTCACCTACTACCAAGAGTTGTTTCTAAACATCGGTATTATAAGGTCACCCTTTTTTTTTTCAGTACAATTTTTTTTAAATATTTTTTATGTGGCAAAGTAACTTTCCCGCTTTAACTAATGTTTTTGTGTTTTTCCACTTATTTGCAAATTAAACTAATCTTAAAATAAAGAGCTTGGTTAATCATCAATGACTTTTATGTTTCATGAATTATTATAACCTGATAACTTTCATGAAATGACAAGTAAAAAATAAGTATTTCAAATATATGAGTGTGTTGTGGAAAAATAAAAATTGTTTGAATAAAAATCGTTCTATTCCTTTAATCAAAAAAAAAAAAAAAATGGAATGCAAAGAGAGTAAATGCTTTAAAAAAACATTTGAACAGAAATTCATTTATTGCTTTCGACCAAAATAAAATAGAGATTAAGAAAAAATCTCGAAAATGGTTAAGTGAGAAACATAATCTAAAAATCTTATTTAAATTAATAGAAATCCATTTTTTTTCAAAGAGTTATATTATATTCGTATTTATTTTGTTAAACTTATAATTTGTGTTCTGCCTCTTTCAAAAAGTAGCAAGATTTAAATATCTTTATCAGACAATATAACTTTCAGGTACACGTTCAAGCCTCGCATTCATACTTTTGAGTTGTTTGTTGTTAAACAGAAACAAAAGGTTGTCTGATTGCTCAAAAAAACAAAGTTTGCGTGACTTTTAATCTAGTTGTTTTACTAGATTAAAAGTCACGCATGTATAAATAATTCAAAAAAATTATTTTAACGATATTTGCAAATATAGTTTGAAATTTCAGTTTCACATTGTGATTTTGAATAACGCAAGCCATCTATTTTTAATTTATTTTTCCTAAAACTAATTTTCAAAAATAAGTTTGATATGCTTGTTAAAAATAAATTGACGTTTTCAACATACATATGAAACAAAAAGGTTAATTTTACTTTTTTTTAAGAAAGCTATTGCTTTTGTTATATTTTTTTTAAATGTTGTTAATAACTGCTGATAAAATACCATAGTACAGAGATGAATCCTCAATGGGGAAAAAATGAAATATTCGCGATATTTAAATTTTTTTCTTTAAGATATTTCAAGTAAATTTTCCATTTTTTTCTCTTATTCTGACTGAATTATTTTCTAATAATTCAGTCAGTAATTAAGATTTTCCAAACTTTGTGTTAAGTAGATATCTGTACCCATCAAATTTTTTCTGAACAAATGTTTTTAACCCTCAAAAATGTCGGTTAAAAATGTTCTTATTCCATTCCAATTCTTATTCCATTTGGAAATCACTTGTTTTAAAAACAACGAAGTTATAGGAGACCTTGGAACTTGAAATATGCATTACAAATACTCATAAATCCCTTTTCATTTTGTCTCAGAATATTTTTGAAAGAAAAAGATCTGTATTATTTAGAATCTACAAAAAATTCTATAAAAATATCTATAAAAATATATAAATATATATATACTTATAATTTTTCCACGCTTTGACCGCGTGAACATCTTCGTCGGTGATTGTCTTGTCTCGTCTCTGACAATCTTAAAATAAGTTAAAACAAGAAGGAAGTGTTTAAATTGTCTTTGACAATTTTAAAAAATGTTGCAATAAGTAGGAAATTTAATGACTATTAAAATTATTAATTAACAAAGGAAAGCAAACTAAATATTAACTTTCAAACGGAAATAAAAGCTAATCATTAAAGTAAGCTATGCAATAAATAGTTATAAAAACAAATTAACAAAGGATAACTAACAAAAAATAAGCTAACAATTAATAATAAGAAAAAACACTAGTTAACAAGAAATCACAAAAAAATAAAAATTAATGTAAAAAAACTAACAGTTAATAGCTATAGAAAACAAGCGAATAATTAATAACTAGCAAAAAAATAAATAACTGTTACTAACTATAAAAAATTAGACGAAAGAAGTAATTAATCCCTTAATAAACGTGCTTTTGTAGTACATATTATTTTATTTCACATTCAAAATTATTATCGTGAACTATTCAAATGAGTGTATTATAGGTAAGTAAACAACTTTTAATCTAATGTTTTCATTGTGTGCCGTCAAATTTCGAAATCGTTAAAAGTGTGCCACCAAAAAAATTGAGAATCACTGATCTGGCAAATGGATTGTCCGTCGCTAAGACCCAACTTCTAACTTAAGACTTTTCTTATAATAAAGTAAAATAACCGAATTATTTTAAAGCCCGATAGAAATAGAGCATTTATGCGTGTAGGTGTGTGTGCATATCTTTTTTATGCGTAGGTGCAGGTGAAATTGCGTAGGTTCCTGGACAAAGAAAATTGAAAAAATTTCCCAACATTGCTTAAACTGATTTGTGCACGTTTTTCCATTGAAATTTAATCTTCCTCCAAGCAAAAGATATGTATGTTATTTTCGAGATTAGAGGAAAAAG